AAGAAGAAGAAGAAGAAGAAAAACAAGATGATGATGAAAGAAGATGATATTGATATTGAAAATGACGTCACTAGGCACAAAATGGCATATCCTTACCATGCTTTTTGCTCTGTAAAAACCACTACATTTAACTTACAAAATTTTTCCGAAGCCTATTGCTACAGCCACGCATGCCAGAATCACATAAACGCTGACTATTTTTTCTTTGCCGACATTACATGCTTTTCCAGAACAGCAATAAACATTACAATCCGCGCTGTTTCCCACTCCACAATAAGCTGTACGCAAGGATTCACATCCTTCAAAGCTCCTAACACAACCCTTCTTATAGATACGCTTCTTTGTTCTTGATAAGGACTTGTAGTCCATCTTGTAGCAATAGGGCGTTCCAGTGGTATAGCTACAGGTGGTGAGTGATGACCTAGCCTGACAATGCTCGTATGAGTCAGTGGAGGAGCAGCTATGGCAGCTTGGGTAGCCTTGACCTCCTAAATAAACAACAAAATATTATTGGTTATCTTGTGGTGACGTCATATCGCCATGTTGGATGTGCCCAAAGAGATTTATTGTCATAGGAGGCTTCTGTTATGTCATCCAACATGGTGGCTATCGTTTCTTAAGGCTCATTTTTTTGGGGGAATTCTTTTGCGACGTTGTCACTCCCTTAAGTATTATTTCTTTCTATACCAGAAATGCTTTTCAGCTATGGTGCAATGTTTTCCCATTTCAGACCATTGTTATTCCCTTGAGTATTATTTCTTTCTTTACTAGGATTGCTTTTCAGCCATGGTACAATGTTTTCCCACTTCAAAGAATGTGTCATTCCCTTGAGTATTATTTCTTTCTTTACTAGGAATGCTATTCAGCTAGGCACAGTAAATGGTGCAAGGACTATACGTACCCGAGAATCCGGTGTCGTTTAACATCAGACGATTACAGTAATCAGTGGAACAACAATCGAGCTCGCAATTATCCTTAAACTGAGATGAAAAGGAAATCACTTATAATGTCTGCTCTTCAAAATCACCCGACATAAGTCATGCTGGATGACTACAACATGAAGAAGAAGAATATTATGATGATGATGAAGGAGATGCTGATGATAATCATCTTGCATCATGAGGTAAGACTTACATTCCCATAGCACGCCTGTCTTTTCTGTTCTTCTATCGAGCAGTTTGTGATACATCCTGTTGTAGTGACCACTCTTGTTTCGGATTTGTTGTGTACATACGTAAACGTACGTTCAGCGCTTGCTTTGTAACATTCACCATGGCAACCAATGGTATAGGAGCATTTACTTCCCTCGGTAGTACAAGAATAACATCGTAGGCCAACAGTGTTTCCTACAGTTGTGAAAAAAAAAATTATTGTAAGTTTAAATAGCATTGGTTATCTCCGGAAGCATCACAGTCAGTACCGTATTAAAATACATTTATTGGTTAATTCGTTCTGTCTTTCAGTCTTTCTTTTGTCTGTCTATCTATATTTCCCTTTGTTTTGCGCTTTTTGTCGTTTGTTTGTTTCCGGTCTCTAATTGTTTGTTCGTTTGTGCAAAAGTTAGTCCAGGTCGTAACGACTGATATTCAATCGTCATCATTAATTCCCAAAACGCTGCCGAAACTTTGCCGAAACTTTTTCCGACGCTATATCGATTTCTCTCTTAGTTATGGTCAATGTTTGTTTTAGGTTTGACAGCAAAAACATTCTTGATTTGATTTCATTAACATGTCAGATTTTCGCTAAAATTATTCACCAAACGTGAAAATGTTTAGTTTCGTAACTCTGACCACTACTTGTGACTAGCTTCATCAGTTTTATCATACATAAAGCATATACTCTTTAAGAACCGAAAACCGAAAGCTCATTTTAATTAATGTATTTTTCCGTTGAAAGTATCGCCACCAGTAGCTATAGACGCATATTTTAATACATTTTGCTTGTATAAAGTTAGTTGTTAAATTAAAGGATCATTGGATAGTTTTTTTCTGGGTCATGGACAATATTGCTTGAATATTTACCTACAATTTATTAAGTATTTTTGTATAATTTTCGTTTGAGAATCAACCGTAAAGATGTCCCAATTGAGTCCAAAAATCGTCGCTAGTTATTGTTGCTTTGCG